GTTATTTTAACTCGAACTTGTTTGAATTCACTCGCTTTGATAAGCAGCTTTGAATGTTTTTCTTATTGATTTTGTTATATACTTTTTCTGTTTCACTTTAATAAATAATGCTCGTCGAGAATCAATATAAAAAAAACGCTTGAATAAGGGTAGAGTCATTTTCTGATGGAACACGTAAGTAAAGAATTAGATAATGGATTTTAGAAAGAGTTCTTGTTGAAGCATAGCGTTCTGCAGTTCGTGAAAATGCTCGCCTGGAGATGTGCATCACAAAATGAAAGCTCATCTATCGCCCATTAGACCGAAATGAGCAAATTTAGCCTACAAGCTCCCATCAAGCGCTTTTGCTCGGGATATTGCGGTTAATGAAAGCGCTATGCGACAAGCCCACTAGACTTTCTTTTCGTTCATTTCTCGTTTATTGCTTACTAGATGGTTCATCGTAGCAGCGAGCAATAAACAGTGAAATTAGCAAATCATTACAAACACAACGACTATATAAATGACAGCATAGCATTTCTTTAATGTATTCAAAACAAATAAATCAACCCTCTACTAAAACGAAAATAGTACAAAATCCTTATGGATAAAATGAGATTCCTTTTTGCGCTATTTGTTTAACCATTGTTCACGATGAGTGTCCAAAAAGTGAAGCACCAGCCAACAATAAGTTCAGTTTAAAAAGGTTCACGTGTATCTATTATTATCCGCTGGTCACCTGGGTTATTTGTTCAGGAAACTCTTGCCCATATCATTGCTTGCGAGGATCAAATTAATTGTATTCGTTACACAGTATTTTCTGTACAATATTAACAGGGTGCATTAAAAGATGATCTTATCTTTAATGTTGAAACGGTTGTGCTATTATTTTAAAAATTTCAAACTATCTGCTATTTTCTCTAATCACCATATCCGCTCCTCCTGTCTCTAACCAAGGCATGATATTGATGGAGACGTGGGAAGAGGGCATATTGGTTGGGATAAAAAATTGTTGAAGTAAGTTAAATTAAGCTAAATTATGTACATTGTCAGCGCAGCTGGTGTGTATCTCTTTAAAATAAACTTCAGACAAAG